GTGATAGTCTCCTTGGCTACCTGTCTCTTTGAACAGACCTGCCAGCCCTGCTCAAGTTAGACTTCAAGGCTTTAAGGGAAAAGCTGAAGAAGTTAGGTGAGGGGTGACAGTTCTGTCACCCAGGAAGAGTTTGCCAAAATGAATGGCAAGTGCTACCTCTTTTTCTAGCTGGTGGCCAAGCCCTGGCCCCACCCTTTCTTTTTTTTTTTTTTTATTTTTTTTTTTTTATTTATGTGTGTGTGTGGCCAGCTCAGCCCACCAGGGGGCGGGGCTGGCTGGCATGTGGTGCTGGGGGATTGAACCGCGGTCCATGTGCTTTGCTAAGCTTGTTCTAAATAGGTGCTTTAGACCACTGTGCCATCTCACCAGCCCGGCCCCACCCTTTCACAGGGTGCTGGGATTTCTTCCCCAACTCTGCCCTAACTTCTTTTCATTTTGGAATATCACCAAGATGTATGCTGGGCTAGAGCACTGGTTACCCCTGGCTGCGAGTATGAGACTAAGGTGAGGGTACTGGGCTGGCCAAGGGCTAGCAATGGGCTCAAGTCCCCACCTCATCCAGCTCCTCTGTGTGACTGGAGAGAGAGGTGTAGGTGACAAGCCCCAACAGCTCACCCTTTTGGGTGCCTCAGTTGGGTGTGAGAATAGGAAGAAACCTATCACCAGCATTTCAGGGCTCTTGGTGACCCCTGGAGCTCTCTTAGAATTCACACAAGACCTGAAGTCCATGGAAAAGTTGAGGCCCAAACTGGTTGTGGGAGGAAAAATGTCTGGTGGGGTCTGGCTCTCGGTGCCTGTGCTTCCCGACTCCTAGTTATGCCGATAAGAAGAGTCCTGCCCTGTCCTTTAGGAAGTAGACTTCTCTGAGCCTGAAAGGACCTTCGTGCTGGAATACCACACCTACATCTGAGATGTCTGCCTGTAGATGGCGTTATGTACTCCACAAGTGTGGAGTACACTCAGGATGCAGGGTAAGGGCCCTGAGCTCCCTGCCGTTCTCCCAGTGGTTCTGCTCCCTGAGGAAAAGACAAGGAATGTCCTGGCTGCTCTCTGCGGCCACAAGCACCAGGGTGAGGCTTGAGGACCTCTAATGGGAAGCTGTGCCCCCAGCAGGCCTGGCAGACAATTATATTCTTATCTTGGCAATATCAAGCAATCTGAGAGTTAATTAATAGACTTAAAAAGTGAGTATTCCTCCTTACCCCTCTTGCCCACTCTCTGCCTGTAATGCTGTGTATAACGACACAGGGTCGCTTTGTAGAAGTTCACTGTCAGTTCTAGGTGGGAGGTGCAGAAGTGCCTGCTGGCAGTTGGGACAATGGAGAGAGGGAGAATCCCAAGGAGGAGATGAGGACAGGGAAGCTTTGAGTTACTCCCCACCCGCTGCCCTAAATTCTCCCCACTGCCTCTTCAGAGATTCCTCAAATTGGTAAGGCTCTTTGAGTCACTGAGGGTGAGTACTGGCTTCTTTGCTCAAAGGCTTCCACAGAGAGCCTTTTTGGGAGGGTGAGTCCTGGGAGAGGATCATCTTGGAACATTTTGTGATGAGCCAGCAACACAGAGAGATCCCATTCTAAAGCAGCTAAATAAGAGATAGGGGTAGGGATCCAGCCTCAAGTGTGCAAGAGATACACTCAATGGACTGAAGGCTCTGACCAATACCAGGTTCATTTCCTTTTTTTTTTTTTCTTTTTTTTTCGGAACTGGGGATTGAACTCAGGCCCTTGCACTTGCCAGCCAAGCACTTATTCTACTGAGCTATCTCCCTGGCCCTCCCTTTTTTTTTAAATCACTTTTTTTTTTTTTGAACCAGGGATTGAACTCAAACCCTTGTGCTTGCCAGGGAAGCACTTAATGTATTTAGTACAGGGTCTACAGGGTCTCACTACACAGATCAGACTCATAGTGATCCTCCTGTTTTCAGCCTCCCAAGCGCTGGGATTACAGGCAGACCACCATGCCCAGTCTCATTGCTCACTTGATGCAGAAGCTAGAGGGCCTGCAGCTGATAGATATGCTAATACTATATTGAAGACTTGCAAGCAGCAAAGATGAGGGGTGGCCCTGGGCAGGGCTGGAGGTCAGTGGGTGAGCAGGACAATGCCATGGGCAGTGGTGACTGAACCTGGAAACCTAGGACCTGCTGTACCTGTGGCACTGGACAAGGCATGCACCAGGAGACTCCAGCCTCCACCAGGTAGTTTTGAGCCTACAGCCTGCAACAGTCCCTTGCTAGGCTGCCCACAGGGCTGTTCCCATTCTTCTGTCCTCTCCAGAACTCATGGGCTTCAGATCTTGCTGGGTTTCCTTCTTCTAGGACTGAAGCTCAAATGTGCCAAAATGGGCACTGTTGCTTCACTGAGAACCTCCCAATCCTGGTGTAGTTCCCCTTCTCTTTATTAGTGACCCAGGACTGGGCCATTAGGCTGAGGTGTGGAGTGGCTCCTGGCCTAGAGAACAGGGGACTGCTAAGGACCTCCAGAATATTCCTCTTCCTAAAGGAAAACACTTAGGGCAACTAGACTCTGTCTGGAACTTTCAGTAACAGAATCCCCCAAACCCAACTACAAGTTACTAGTTGATAGCTGGTCTGAGCCTGCAAAGATAGGGTAGCATGGACATCCTATATGGCCACATGATAAATTGAGCCCTAGGGACTTGACCTATCCCTCGCAGGCTGAGGGCCAGCCTCTACTGTCCTTGGAGCTCACTGGACCCCCTACTCACACCTGTCCTTCACAAATAAACAGCCTGTTTTTTGCTTTAATGTATTTAGTACAGGATCTACAGGGTCTTACACAGATCAGACTTACAGTGATCCTTCCTCTCAGCCTCCCAAGTGCTGAGACTACATAGGCATGTGCCACCACATCCAGTCTCAATTGCCAGTCTCAGTGCACCCTGTGCATGGGGCTGGCACAGCATGCTGGGGATCAAACCCTGGGCCACTGCACTCTGCCTAAGCAGGAACTTTAGTCCACTGAGCTATGTGGCCAGCCCAACAGCCTGGTTAAAGCAAGGAGGCCTATTGTTTTGCAGAGGTGACTGAACTGAGGGTTTCTGTTCCATGCCATTTCCCCAGACCTGTTTTTTCTCTTTTAATGTATTTTGTGCAGTGTCTTACTGCACAGCTCAGACTTGTAGTGATCATTTTCAGCCTCCTCAGCACTGCAAATGCCAGGCCTGGACTTGGACCACTGGCTTAGCACAGTGCCAGGGATTGAACCCGTCCCTGCCCTTTGCCTAAGCAGGCATTTAGTCTGCTATCTTGCCAGCCATTTAAGTCACTTGCTTCCCAAGGGCTGAGATTATAGGTATGCATCATGCCTGGGTCGAGACTGGGTCTCAGCAAGTCTCAAACTTATGATCCTCTTGTGTTTGTGTCCCAAAATGCTGATCGAGTGCCACACCTGACTCAGACTTATTTATAGCTCAGAGGCTACCTGACATATCCTCTGGTTGGTGATGTCTTGAGACCACAGCCTAGGAACAAAAAGAGGGCTACCACTGCAGCATCATAGCCTTCCAGCCTGAGGCAAGATCTCCATGGGAAAGTATAAGTTCTCAGAAGTCCAAGCTAACCCCTCCTTCATAGGCCCTACCAAAACCCAAGGTTAAAGAAAAATCACAAATTCTCCTTTATTTTCTGAACAGAAAAACAGAACTACCCTATCTTGTTTCTCCCCAATGCTCAGGGAGCTAAGGAACCAGATATAACTTCAGGTGGCCTTTTGCTATCAGGGATGTTTAAAACTCACTTTCAGCTCATTTCACTCCACCGTGGATCTAGACTTCCTGGTTGCTAGTGTTTGCTGGGTAGAGCCCCAAGTGCAGGCTGGACAAAGCCCACAGCAATTCTGGCCAAGTACTCAGGACCTGGCAACGCCCTCTTGGTTACACACCAGGTTGGGTCCAGACACCTGGGTCTGAAGTCCTGGGCTCCACCTGGCTGGCCCCACCTTGGACTGATGCCATATCGGTACAAGGCCAAAGGCTCAGTCAGCTTGGTCTCTGACTCACAACAGCCACTGAACCTGCCTCTCATAAATTCAAGTCATCCACCCAAGGGAAGGAACCAAGGAGAGGGCCCAAGCTCAAGAGGCCTTCCTCCTGTGGCCCGCACTACTGCCCTCCCACTTAGAACAGAGTAGGGCCTAGAAGCTGATGAATTCAGTATGAGGCCACTTCTGTGAGAGCCCCCAAAACCACATACACCAGGCTGTGCCACTCATTCAACAGCCAGATTGGTGCCAACTGCAGCACCATCAACGTAAGAGTGAGGACTGTTTAGAAAGGAGTTTCAGCCAGTCACCAGAGCTGGCTGGAGCAGAGATGCTACTCCTCCCAGCACACTGCCCCCTCCAACACCCCCAGGTTCCAGCCTTAAAAAAAACCAACACTCTGTTAATGAGTTTTTAAATTGTTTTTTTTTTTTTTTTTTTTGCAGTACCAGGGAT